GATAAATCAGATGAGGTTCCAGAGACAGGGTGAGAGCAAAAAGGAAAAGGACAAAGTTACACTGACAGGTGAGGTCTAACTAGAACCCCCATGCAGTGAATGATTGGTTCTCCATCTTGACTAAGTGTGCAGTCATCGGGAGGGCTTGGTAAAACAAGGATGGCTGGGCCCCACCCCTAGATCCTCTGATTCAGCAGGTCTCACGTGAGGCTGAGAATCTGAATTTCTACTAAGTTCTCTGATGATGCTGATGTGGTCCCAGGGGAGTACACATTGAGAACTACAGCCCAGTTACTTTTGAGTGGATCGTAGGTCTGTAAAAAAAAAATGGTAACAAATCTCCTTTCCTTCCCTGCTTCCTAGGATTGCTTGAGGATGCGGGGGATACATATCTCCGGAACCAGAGTTCCAGAGGAAGAAGGTGTACAATGGGGACAGTCCACCACTGAGGAGCAGGCCTCTCAAGGTAAAGAAGTAGGGGAGGAGGGGAGTGAAGAGGAAGAGAGGGGGAGAAGACAGGAAAACGGGGGAGAGAAGGGGAAAAGGAAGGGGAGAGAAGGAAGGGGAAGAAGGAGGAAAGGAGAGAGGGGCTGGTCTCTTTCCAGCACCCCCTGCAGACCAATAATCTATCTAGGTAACAGTTGCTCAACACCTGAATGCAGTTTTACCACATAGCCACAAAGAAAAAGCTTTCAATAAAATTGACCCGTTAAGTATTTAAGGCTTTGCCTTAAAGAGCACTATGCTGTTCCACAGAGAAAGGAGAGCTGAACTGCTTTCTGTCCTGGAGCTTCTCCCATCCAAGTCAAATGACGGTGTCCTCATCCATCTCTTCTGCCAGTAAAATGACCAGAGAGAAAAGCAAACAGCACTGGTGAGATTCAAGCAACCCCTGCCTCTAGGACCTGCAGGGATTATGCAGTGAGGACGGCTTCAGTTCTTACTGAACCACTTATGCACCCATGTCCCCTACCTGTTGGGGGATGGTCTATGCGTCTGGGAAAAAGAGTAGACAGCATTTTACTTCCTGTGTTGAAAGCACTATCCTCATTCTTGCTTTCCAGCTCAAGATGCCCCCGAACCACTCCCCCACCCCCACCCCCAGCTGCTGACTTTTGCACTAGGTAAAATAGCACTTATTACTCACACAAAAGTGGAAGAGCAGTCTGGTATAGGAGTATTTCTGGTGTCATTAGTAATTTTATATTTTTGTTATTATGCTTTCACTTGGTTACAACCAAAGTTGTTATAATGTGCAAGTTGCCACTATTTTGGAAAATTAATTGCAGTTTTCTGTTACAATATTATGCCTTCTTCCAATTAGAAAATGAAAGCAGGGAAGGCACACAGGCAGCTTCGTGTTTTGAGAATTTAGCAAAACTTCAGCTCAGCAATCTCCAAATGCCTAACTTAAAAAACCAAACAGAAATGAACAGAAAAGCCCTCCCTGGCTCCAGAGCAAGGGAGTCAGACAGAAAATAAGCCCCTGAGGCAGAGTGGCATCCCCAGCCCAGAGGAGGCTGGAATGGACGGAGGGAAGGGGGAGATAAAACATGTGCTCAGTCTTATTTTTCCAGACTTGCCAATCATACTAAAATCGGGAAGACTGAGCCTAGCCTCAGAAGCAGAGAAGGGAAATATCAAAAGGACCCTGATCCTAGAAACAAGGATAAAAATTAAAATGGCTCAACATGGGCGAAGAACAGAACCCAGCACATGGCTATTCAAGGGAGGGCCCCGGAGGGCAGCAACAGCTGAGAAGAGATGGCAGGTGAAGCACAGCCAGCCAAAAAGCCAAGTAAGAGTCTGGTGGAAAATGGAGCCCAAAGGCCGCCGTGCCCGCAACAAGATTAGCCAAGGATCAGAGCACCATGCATAAAACCACGAGTAAACCTGAGACTGTCTCTTCCTTGCTGAGGACGCTGAGGGCAGAGACCTCAAATGAAGAAAGCAGTCATTAAAAACAGCAGTTCTCAAACTCGAGTGCCTATCAGAATCACCTGGAAAGCCTGTTTTACAAATACAAACACCTGTGCCCCTCCCACCCCATTCTTATGTAGCTCTTTAGGCCTCAAGTGCTGTCTGTTTCTGACAAGGACCCCACGTATTCTAATGCAGGTTATCCGAGGAGCACAGTTTGAGAAGCACTAATCCAAGAGGTCTGAAGAACCGCTCAGAATAAATGCACCAAGGCAAGCCAGCAATTAGCAATTGATTTTCAGAAGAGTTTTCATATGGGACTGGGTAAGAGATCATCTCTTGGGGAGAGATGTCACTTAGTGGGAATTAAAAATAAGGTAAGTCAATGCTCTGGAGGATGTTCTCTTGGGACTGTCTGTTGGCCCAACAAGCTCACCTCTCTGAATATTACCATAGTGAATTCCAAGAGGTAAGACTAAAATGAAGGGGGATTCTGAGTAGAGAAGCTTGAGGACAGGCCCATCACCCACAAAAGCATTCCTTCGAAGACAGAGCATGACATTACAGATGGACACATCCACCTATACTTACCTGTGTAGAGGGAGATGCTCTACTGTCCCATTAAACCCTCGCTCCCTGTTCTCAGACAAAAAGGCACTTCTTGCCTTAAACGGTGGTACAGCACAGCTATCCAAAAAAGCTGGTGTCTTCCCTTCCACCAATGACTGAATTCAGGGACATTTGCTGAATGCTTTGGTGCCTCTGGAGGTAAGGGGCAACCAAGACCTGGAAAACCAGAAACCTTTCTGTAGCGCAGGGGGTTTAAAGTCAGACTTGGTGGAAAAGGGTAAGCAAAACCTTGCTCAGAAGCCTGGATCCTGTCTCTTGGGTGAGAGGAACACTTCCCAAATGGGAGCTTTCTAGTTACTTCAGCTCCCTAAGTGGCAGATGGTGCCTACTGAGAATCAAAAAAGCCTCACTAGGAGGCCTGAGAAATAGCTCTTGTCACGAGGCATACAGCAGCTGGCTAGCCGCCCTGAGCCCCTTAGCAGGACAGCAGTGGATTACCACACCTCCTCAGCAGACTCCTCCAACAGCGCTCCCTGAGCTGCCAGCCCCACATGTGACAACATCTTGGCTTCCGCCCTGTAGCTGTTTGCCCTCAGCCAGATGTTTCTGGCTACTTATGGGAAGGAGGAACCTTGCTAGGATGGAGGACTGGCAGGCTGGACCCAGGAGTTGGGGCAGGAGCCCTGGCTTCTGGAAGAGGCTGGAGATGTCCATTAATGTTGCTGAAATCAGATCCTGTCTCTTAATGATTATAAACGATTATTCCACAATTAGGCAGGAAGGGTTTAGAAGAACAGCTATTGGGACCAGGATTCTAGGTAGTGAAAGGCAGACACCAGGTACTTTTACCATCCAAATCTGCTGAGGAGAAGCAAAATAATATGTAAACTAAACCTCAATGTCCATCCTCAAATATCTAGGTAAGAAAACAGGCCTGTGAACTTCATGACGTCCTCTCCCAAACACCTAATACCAGATCCTTCCAAAGTCACCTGGGATTCAGAAATCGGGACTTTCCTGTAAGTATGATGTCAAGAGCACAGACTGCCTGCTTCTACCCTTTCAGGGGCTTGGTGGAACATGCTGTCACCTATCACTGGTTCTGCTCGTTATCACCTAGAAATGCTAAGGAGGACGCTTTTCTTGAGATTCTCTTCCATTCATTCAGCTTCTCCTAAATGTCAGGTTCCTTATTAGGTACTTAGACTTCATAAACGTGGCACAGATATGGTCTGCACTCTCGAGGACCTCACAGTCCAAAAGAGGAGAATGAAATGGAAACAAGTTAAGTACAATCTGATGTGATGAGTGTTAACACAAGCTCGGGGGAACCAAGGTGGGTGGTGGCACAAGGAGGGAGTGATTTAGAAAGGTCCAGCAGAAGGGAAAGAGCTGCTGAAGTCAGGTTTGAGGGGAGCGGGGAGGCCAGGTAGAAGGCACACTGGTAAGAAAGGGCCTTCTGAAATTCAGGGTGCTTGGAAAGTGACTCAGTAGAGTCAGACAGAGGGTCCCTGTAGGAGATGGGAGGAAGAGGCTGGTGACTACCATGCTAGGCCACCCACTTTCTGTCACTTTCTACATAATGGATCCTATGGCTAGCTTTTTCTTTAAAACAAATGCTTCCATTCCAGGCATCAAGCATCTACATGCATCGCACTAAATGAAGGGCCCTGGGGGATATGTCCCTAAGGAGCTTACACTGAACCTAATTGGGCAGATTAAACATACACACCACTCAGTTAAAGAAAACACAAAACAACACATAAACAAGTGCATAAAGCTATAAATGGCACAACACAAAGTGCTAAGGGAATTCACAGGTTCTTAGCTTGAGACAGAGCTTAAATACCATCTAATTAGAGAACCATTCAAATGCTCAATTCCCCTTAGCAAAAGCAAATGAGCCCCCGTGGGAACTCAGAAACCAGTATGGTTGAGTCCAGAAGGCCACTAACCCCACGAGGCCCAGAAGGCTTTTATGGCAATACAAGAAAGGTCCTACCTCAGACAAGAGAGGGTCCCAATAGGACCTTCTTCTCCTAATAAAATGGATGAGACGGTTAAGAGCATAGCAGCTACCCAAAGGCCTCATCTTCCAACATGATTACAATCCACAGAAAAGAACATTTCATAGTATACATCTTGCTTCCTCAAAAAGTAATTTTTTTTTAATAAGCATAAATATTTCATTGTGTCCTTCATATACCTCCAGACCAAAGGTGTCACACTGAGGTAAGGAGGTATTCAGTTTGGGCTTCATCCAAAGATACTTTCAAGCCTCTCGGGAGCTCAGCTCAGGAACTAGGGTGTGAGAAAGCTCTTGCCTTTTAATAGTCCAGAGCTTCTAAAAGTGAAGCCTGCTGGTCACAGATGGACTGCACTGCAGTCTTTCGTACTCCTTACGAGCATGCTACCTCTCACCCAGGTTGGGAGGTCACACCATTGACCTTCACTACCCTGCCAAGTCTGGAGAGCTGCCCTACAACGGAGGCACGAGCCATGGCACTCACCCTCATGGAGGTCTCGCCACCATGGGCCTGCTGCAGCCTGAAGACCTGGGCCACCATGTGCTCTGTGGAGGGATGTAGCAGGATCCTCCTCGAGGCCAAGCCCACCATTACGTATCGGCCCATTGGGGACAGGCTCACCGAAATGGCATTGGGACCTGAGAGCCAACAGAACAGAGAGACATTTCCCAGAGTTCTTGCCATCACAAGGAAATAATGTTCCCTCTCAGTCTTTTTCTCTTTATTTCCAATTTGCATCTTTGGTTACCCAGGGGCTCTCTCATAGGAGTGCAGTGAGGAGGACAATGAGAAGGCATGTCAAGTATTGAGTACAATGTATGACATACAGAAAGTACTTGACAAATGCTAACCACTGCCATCATAACACCACATCTTAAAAAAATGGCACCATACTGTAAATACTACTTTGAAATCTACTATTTCCACTTCATACGTAATGACCATTTTTCCATCATTAAATATTCTTTAGAGCATTTTAAAGGCCAAATGGTATTCTGCCCTGTCTGTGCATCATTTATTTAAGCAATTCTTCACCATTTGACATGTTTCTCTATGATAAGTAACACTGCTGTGAACATCCTTGTAGATAAATCTTTGTACAGTTTTCTGATTATTTCCTTAGAAGTGGGATTGCTGGATCAAAGGGAACATATACTTTAGGGGCTTTTAATACACAATACCACACTGCCTTGAAGTGCAGGAGTGTGCCAAGCTGTGACCAAAGCTCCTCCTTTATCCGTGGTCGTCACAACAGGAGCATGTTGGTGACGCTATTATGGCAGGAAGGACTCTTACTCTGAGAGTCTTCTGCAATGCTACCAGACAGGACTCCTGCAAAGCAATCTTCCTCTGGCCTGTGCCCCAGGGAAGCAGGGGCAGGATATGACCATTACTCCTTCCTAAGCTGTGCCTCACCTAGGAATGCCCATGCCAAGGCACCAGCGTCCCTCTGTTGCTAGGTTGGGCTTCCTATCCCTTACCAAATCGCTTGGTGTAGAGCATTTCACCCAGGTTATGGGGGGCCAAGGAGTACACTGCCAGGATGCCTTCATCAGGAAAGCCCCTCTGGCTGCTAGGGATGAAAGCTGCCAGGAGCTGGCCATCTGCAGAAATGTCACAGCTGGCGTCATTGTAGATCTTGCAGTTCTGCACCAGCACATTCACGGAAGCTGCATCAGACAAAGAAAGAAAAGAGGGTAAGAAAGTTTGGAGTTGATGGTGTAAAAAATTCTGGGCCAAGAAATTCTGGGGCCTCTCTAAGGGCCTGAACCCTCTCTAAAAATGCTGAAGTCCACCCTGTCAATCAAACTAAAATGTCATGGAACAAGGAACACAAGAGGCAGGAAAGAGATGTGTCTTTACCACTTTAAAAGGAAACAACAGATAGTCAACACAATCACAACCACCTGCTGAGTCTTAGCTCACACTTAGGAAACATCATTTGAGAGAGATAAGGACAAAGTTATTAAAAATTGTTCCTGGAGAGCCACTCAACAGCTGTTATTGTCCAAAAGATCAAAACTAAGATGAGTGAAAATGCAAAACCACTGATTCCAAGAGAAAGGTGATCCAGGTAAAGCTTCCTTGGGGTGAGAGTCTTACTGCACAGCTGCTATGCAGCCTTGGAGAAGGAAGTCATTTCATTAGTTTGTGTCTTATTTTCTCATATCAGAGAAATGGAACAGTTAGAGACTTCAGTCTTCTGGACAGCTCCTTGCTACTATGAATCCCTAATGCCATTAAGAGAGGACAAAAAGAAACACAGCCCAGCTGTGGCTGGATGGCTGGAACTCTTCATTTCTCACTATGCTCTAGGCCTTATCCATACCATAAGCAAGCATCCAGGGGCAGCAGCCCCAGCCTGTACTTAGCAGCTACTAAGAATTAAGCCCAGGATCAGCCAGGCAGCAGGCTCAAGGGAACAGGGTAGAGATGGGGGTGGTGGAAGAATGTGTCAGTGGGGATGGGGAGATCCCGTTCCACATGACAGGACTAATGAGACTTTGGCCAGCACTGAGTCTGTGCCTGCAGGCTTTGTTTTGATTTTCATTCGCGTCTCCGAAGCCCTCTGTATAATTCCCTGCCAGGAGGAAGTGGCTTACCCTTGAGGAGAGCCTGGGAAAAGAGTGCCCAAACCATGGGCACAAGCAGAACAGCACAACACATCCAAAGGGACCAAGCTCCTCTGGGCTTTGTCTCACTTAGATCTACTTCAAATGTACCTGCAAAGAAACTTTTTGGTCCTTCTCTTATTTTAGAGATTACCTGGATGTCCACTGTCAAACGCATTATGGTTAAAAAAAAAGAGAGAGAAAGAAAGAAAGAAGAAGCCAAGCTCAGCGGGCCGTCATCAGATTCCAGGTGATCTATTCCAGGAAGCCCAAATGCTTGCCCTGGAAGATCAAGGGCAAGTTTCCCCAGGAAATTACTTTAAGGAACACAAAACAAAGAATTGCTTTTCAGGGGCCTTGAGGCTTAGGGGCTCAGGGACTCAAGAGTGATTTCTAACACTCTATATTCATCTTCCTCTCCCTGTGTGTTGCTAATGAAGCCACAGAGATGACAAAGTAGATCAAAAAAGACATCAGAACACAGTGATTAGGCTATTGTGCCAACTCTCGGGGGCTGACACCTACAGCACCATTACACACAAAACCGAGAAGGGACCACAAGGATGGCTCTGTTTGCTAACTAATAAAATAATGACATCCAAATATTCACTGCTATCACCATTAGGGCTCTGTACTGCTCAACTTCCAACCCACCATCTGCTCTACCCTGTGTGGCTAGATTTATCTAGTTAGCACTGAGACCGTCTGCTCCTTACTCAGGGTCCCAAGACTGGTGCCAAAAAGATGACAATCTTTTCCTCCTTCCCTGGACTGACACATGATTCCAGTTGGGGATATATAAAAAAGGGGGGGGGGGAAAGGAACGGGGGAGGTGTCAGGAATGAGTCCATCTTGATTTTCTAACCTTGAGGCTGGCACAACCTTCAGAAAGATAAAAAGAAACTGAAAACTGAGGCTATAGCCACCAAACTTTAAGACAGTTTTGCACAATTACCATTTATTCCACATTTAATGTCTCAAAAATGCATGGTGGGTATTTTATGAAAGTATGCTTTTCTATCTTGCTGTTATGATCTCACTCATGTGTTAACATGCAACTCCGTCAAACATACAGAAGCCTATAGTAACCCTCAAAGCTCACCACTAAAGTAAAAAAAGCATTTAATTGCTTACTGCCAGATTAATTCCTAAGCAGGGCCAGGGTGGGAAGGAGAGGACAAGTAAGGTTTTCCTTTTTCTGGAAAGCTTGGCTCTAAGCCCCTGAAAAACTGGGCATATAGACAAAAAGTATTTTGTCAGCCTCCAATCCAGGCCGCTATGTTTGTGTTTACTACATTATGATGATTTGGAATCATCATAATGCCACCTCCCAAATTTCGTCCCCTCCCCACCAACCCCACCCAGTTTCAAAAGTGCTCCCAGTCATTGTGAGCACACAGACATGCAGATGACAAATGAAAAGAGAATGCTGAAAATTCAAGCACAGCTTCTCCGGCAGCAGGTTTAATTGCAGAAACTGTGCCGCTAGTGATCCAGGGTTTCACTCCTGCCCTAATGAAGGGGATGTGGCAGGCACACCGTGATTTGGTAGCTTCGTTTCTGTGAGCACTGGGTGGTGTGTTTACAATTTCATTTTTATTTCAAAGTTCCAATTAGCAGCTTACATTTGCCGCTCATTGTCTATTAATTTCCCAGGTGGAAATGGAAATGTTCAGTTACAATGGTGAGTGGTCACCGCTCCAATTCACTTGTGCTGCTTCTCCTCATAAGGCTGCAATTTTGATAAGTTAATTTACACAGGACGAGATTTCTTGGACCTGTTACTTGTTTTCTTGGGCCCTAGGAAAGTAATGCACTAATGGCAAGGACAACTCACTCTTTTTGGACTCAACAATAATGTAAGCAGGCAGAGAAAAAGGTGAAGTGAAATAAAGCCTAAGACACTAGCAACCCACACACCACTACAAATCTTTGTTCTGCTCCCTGCCTGGCCTTATGACACTGCTTCTCAAGTGTTTGCATGCATCAGAGTCACCTGGAGGGCTTACTAAAACACGGAATGTTGGGGTGAGGCCTGAGAATTTGCCTTTCTAACAAGTTCCCAGGTGTCTCTGATGCTGCTGGTCTGGGACCACATTTGATAACTGCCGCCTTACCAAACAGTCCTTGATCCCTGAGCCATAGCTCCAGCAACCTGCCCTGCACTTAAAGGCAAAAACACATGTGGGGAAGGGTGATGGGGCAGCTCAAAATGGAAATAAAGGTTAGGAAAGAAAGGATTTTTCAAATCAAAGCTGCTTAAGAGCTTCAGGGGGGCAGCTCCAGGGGGAGAAAAAATGATGCAGAAGACAGCAGGAAGCCATGTTCCAGACTCTGCAATGTAATCTCCTCCTAATTATAAATGATTTCCAAGTAAAATGCCCTAGCAGGGAATGGGAGGGGTTAGAAATACTGATGCCTGGAGGAGCAGATGGCTCTGCCTTCCTATCAGCTCCATAAATTATAAACAAACACCTTGTACAAAGATCGATTTGTAGCCTGTTGCTGGCTGGCCAGATGAGGCCATGGGAGCGATTAGCAGTTGCAGTACTTTTGTAAATACATTAGATACTGATTTGGAAAACTCGAAGGGGTTTAAATCAGCAGGAATATTTCCTTTTGGCTATCTCTGAGCCCCTCAAGTTGCAGAATAAGACCTCCTGCACAGTCCTCCAGATAACACTACAAGCCCTCCCCAAAGGCAGCAATCACTACATCTCTTGTGGTGCGGTCTGCCTTACACCATTCTGCTGCTGGATTTCTGAAGGCTGGTGCTGGCAGGGCACCCAAGTGACCAATGCTCTTTACCAATAAGAGCTCACTCTTAAAAACCAGGGTGAACCCAATGAGCTACTTTTTCAGGAAAGTGTTCTTGAAATTATCTACATCTGTGAGGCCTTTTCATAAACTTCTAAACTTTACAGAGAGTAATTCATTAATAGTGCATCCTAACTGAGAGAAACATGTGGCAAGAATTTTTAACCTATCTCCAGAGAAAGTTAAATACAATTCAGATAAGTCAGATGACCAGCAACATAGTAGCTGTTGAACACATGAGTAAAACTCAAGACCAGTGGCTCCCAGGCATGGGCTGTGCCAAAGCCAAAGGCTACCCTCCACTGAGAGGTACGAGGTGTTCAGAAATGAATCCTACAGCAAAAAAGATTCCCTACTTACTTTTCTCACAGCTGAATCTGTCAAGAGTGAAGCTGCCAACTGTAACTAGACTTTATTCAGACCAACCAGCAAACACAGTTAAGAGCTAATGACAGGAAACTCAGATAAAAGTGACTGTCATTCTAGAGGGTAATACCATTGAAAGGAACATTGGCTATCATCGAACATATATGCCCTAAACTCCCAGAATGCAGTTTTTCTTCTAAGGTCAAAACTAAGAAAAATAGGGCACTATTAAAAAGCAGAATTCTAACACCATGCATGAGCCAAACTAGTCCTTCTGGTTGCACATGATGCTCTCTGATCAACTCAGGCTTTACAAGAGTCAGGATCAAAAGATGTAAGAAGAAATACAGAAGGGGAATTACAGGAAGTTGTAGTTGGAACAAGTTGAGGCTTATACAAAACATGTTAAAGACAACCAGAAAGGGCATCAAAGCTATGCTAGCAGCATATTCAATGCCTGTATTCTGAATATTTTGCTCTTCTAGCAAGGCAAATGATCTGTGACTGGGTAGAAACGACATGCTTGAGAAGGATGGGGAGCCCATTACAGATAAGGCAACAGGGTGAGAGCAACGTCTTGTTTACATGAACATCACTCTCCAGAGAGGAAGACTACATACCTCAGAGTAGTAAAGGGGGGGGGGGGGGGCAGGGGGGCAAGTGGGAATTTAGAGTTATGGCCATACTCTCAAAGAATCATGGTGCAATTTTCTCGAAAAAGACATAATGCAAATAGCTAGCACTCACTGACCATTTACTATATGTCAGGCATTGTTCAGAATACCTAACATTATTAACTAACTTAATTCTCATAATAACCCTATGAGGTTTGCACTATTAAATTCTCATTTTATAGAAAAGAAATGAAGTTGGAG